CAACAGTAACAAGGAAAACCTCAGAATCAATCAGATCAATTTTGGTCTCAGGCATCAAGCTTGTTTTCAGCTAAAACTATTCTTCAATATGCATGGATAATTATTGTTTGTTTGCTAAGTCGCAGAGGTTGCTGGTCCCATCAGGTGCAACGGCTCATTTTTCGCAATAATAGACAATATGGCTTTCGCCACCAAAGATTAACTGGCTGTTTACTTGCCTACTTAAGTTTGTCCTCGTTCGAAAAATGAACAATCCGAAACCATCAAGAACATGCGCAGTTTCACAGAACTATTGACATTTTTAATGTTCCGTGGATTCATCCCTGGTGAGGTGTCCAGGTTCCATTATACAATATTGAAAAAAGAAAAGCAATACGTACCTAACGTTGATTTTAATTAATGTGTACATCATTTGGTAACAATAACAAAATAAAGAAAAAAATATTGAAAACATAATCAGATGATATCACAGATCAACAGCTACAAACATTGAAATAATAACAAGAAAATAAAATAATAGAAAATATGAATTCCCGTGATATTTCCCATACTCATGTCTATTTTTCCATTATTAGAATGGGCGAGTGGACTGATAATGAATTATTGGCATTCAATAACTCCATTGTGTCGTTAGCAACCTAAATTAATTTTTGCAGCACTTCTCACACTTTCTTTATGTAAATAATACGTCTATGCGTTGTTCAAAATTTTTGAATTTCAGAGATCATTTCAAACGTAACGCTATGGCCTTCATTTGGCGATACGTCGAATAAATGATGACGTCAGTTTTTATGCTGTTTCGTTATTGGTCAGATAATCTTCCATTTCCACTCATGAAACAAGGTTGTCAAGTCACCATTTATAATCAAGTTATCAAAAAGATGTTTGAGTCATGTCGTTGAATAAAAAATAATAGGAGGAACTCATGATGACATGATATTTCATTGTCGACTCTTTCGAGCAACCAGCATGTCCAAATATTTCTTATTCTCCATGACAAAATTGGAGGGTCCTGACCCCTTAATTACGCAACTGATAGACATCCTTATCTTTGCCACCCTATTCTATGCTCGGTATTTCCATCAACAATACTCTTTCTGGATTTTCATTCTGTGAGAAATACTTCTTTTTACCCCAATAGCATCTCTTGATCTACAAAGCACAGATACGGCCGGTTCTAGAATAGTGTTAATACATATGGGGTTCAGCACCCAAACATACGCTGATGCTCGTAAATTCCATCCCGAGACGAGCCATTCTCCTGATGGGTGATGCCACACTCACTAATTCTTTGACATCATTGAAATATCGTAGAAAAGTCGGCGACTTCTCTGTATACAGTCTGTCCAAGATAAGGTTGAACAGCATGGGGATCTTGAAAACGGTATAGGAGATACAAAGTCGGTTAAATGGGGAAAAAGTTGCGCATTCGGAGGCTCATATCAAGAGCCCCCGACAATTTTTCAAATTATTTTTAGTTTCTTAGTTATATCGAAAAAAGTGAATTTTTGGAATATCTATTTTATTTTTTTTCTCCGTTATTATTAGAGATACAGAAAAACTGAAAATACTTTTCTGTAGCATTTTTTGATGACGTTTAACGTGGTGATACCAATTTTTTTATGCGACGTTTCGTATTCGTAGAACTATCATCAACTTTTGTTTTTTATATACGGCCTTGATAATTTTTCACAGATTCTGGAAGGTTTTTTTATTCTGAATTCAACCATGTATTATACAAGGTGATTCGGATGTGTTTCGACCTATTTCTATCCATCATCAATGTTTTTTCGAACTTCCAAAGGAAAAGTGCCATCAGTTCCATTTATTTCTGATTATTTAGTGTCAAACATTGATGGATTAGTTATTCAATACTGAAAAGTGAATAAAAAATAAGTGCCATTCGATCGCATTCGATAGTACACGTCGAGCTTTCTCAGTGTTTGAAATATTTGCCTTTATTTCAATGCCACCCTGTATAAAACACAGGACGTTGCCTTTTAGAATTCTACTATTGAGAAACGATCAGGATGGATTGATTCGGGAAACTTTCGTCTTTGGATACCTCACAAAACGGGTTCTCTATAAACAACACTCGAACGTAATAGTTTCACTGAAGTAACGGTACTAAAAGTATACAAATCATTTCTTCAGCTGAAGAATACAAGGCTCATTATATAAATACGATGACCAAATAAATAATGTCTTGAAACTTGTTTTCGCCATTTACCTTTCTTCCCAGATAGAAGATAGGAACGATAGTCATTAATCTATTGTCATTATCTTTTTTCTTCTTTTCATTGAATAATGTGATCTTGTGGATCCAATTTTGAATTTGGTATTCAATTTGCAGATGATGGAGTTTTCAGGTTGCCGGAAATATGATCGAAAACTATTTGATCGAACATCATTTGATCGAAAAATCAAATGATCGAACAATCCACTGATCGCAATATTATTTGATCGAAAATATCAATTGATCGAATTATCGAATTATATTTTGATCGAACTTATAGCATGAAAGAAATAAGTTTGATGAAATCTGTCAAACCCTGAAATGCCTAGTCATTTCACGTATTGCAGAAAAACAGCGTAAGTAACTCCGTTTACAGCCGTTACAATGTTTGCCGGAATGTTGAGGAAGGAAAATAAGCATAAGCATTAGCATACTTTTCTCAAACAATCTATCCTAACTCGGCCTATATGAACCTTGTTCCTAGAAAGTATATTTTTAGGAAGATTACTTGAGAGAACAAAAGAGCCTACTTTTTCTAAACAAGCTATAACCTGACTCGGTCTAAATTTAATGTTGTACTCATCACTGCTTCTCACAATAAAATCCCTCATATCAATGAATTCCTAGAATCTATACAGAGGGTTTGAGACGAATCGGTATGAATATTATATGCAAATGATTAACCTAACTCGGCCTAAACGAACCTTCTTCCTAGAAAGTATATTTTTACAAAAATTACTTGAGAGAACAAAAGAGGCTACTTTTATTAAACAAGCTAACCTGACTCGGCCTAAATTTGATGTTGTACTCCTCACTGCTTCTCACAATGAAATCCCTCATCTCAATGATTAATGAATTCCGAGAATCTATACAAAGGGTTCGAGACGAATCGGTATGAATATTAGATGCAAATGAAAAACCTAACTCCGCCTTTTTTCTAGAAAGTATTCCATACGATATAGTCACCGGGCCATCTTCGGACATCCGAAAGTGTCAGAAAACGGCAGAAATTCATGCGAATCATCGCTTCGACAGTAGAAAATGACCTGCTGAATCGAATGAGACCATAATCAGCCCCGTCGGACAGATAGTTTTTGAGATATCGGCGCTCAAAGTCAGCTTTTCGCTTTTTTTGCCAATAGGAGCACTCCGGTAGGCGATTTTACTAAATATACTGTACGCTAGCACAAACCACGCCCACCGTAATATCTCATCTTCGAAGTACTTAGGCAAAACTCAGAGACCATTTGGGTATATGAATTTTTTGCATACAAGAGATTGACAACGAGAGAGCTTCCGTCGAATTCGTGTCAAAATCATGAAAAGTGTATTCTTGCGTTGGAGCACAGTATATTTAGTGCGATGTGCTGACTCCGAGTATCGGTAATGTTTGGAGATATGACATATTATGGTGGGCGTGGTTTGTGCTAGAGTGCAGTATATTTAGTAAAATCGCCTCCGGTAGACTACTACGACTCCATTTTTCAGGATTTTCCGATTTCCACCACAGATTCTTTCATCTCGATATCGAATTAGTCTATGTGAATTTTTTCATTTTCATTTTCATACCTAAGACTTCCATACGATATAGTCACCGAGCCATCTTCGGACGGCCGAAAGTGCCAGAAAAAGGCAAAAATTCACGTGAATGTTTGCTTCTCCAGTAGAAAATGACCTGCTGAATCGAATGAGACCATAATCAGCCTCGTAGGACAGAAAGTTTTTGAGATATCGGCGCTCAAAGTCAGCTTTTTGCTTTTTTTGCCAATAGGAGCACTCCGGTAGACTACTACGTCTCCATTTTTCAGAATTTCCCGATTTCCACCACAGATTCGTTCATTTCGATATCGAATTAGTCTATGTGAATTTTTTCAGATTTTCAATAGGCCAAATAAAAATTTTCCTTTTCCCACCAAAGACTTGACTTGGGAAAATTGCTTGAGATAACAAAAGACTCAGAAGAGGCTACTTTTCCTAAACAAGCTTACCTGTTTCGGCCTAAATTTGATGTTGTACTCCTCACTGCTTCTCACAATGAATTTCCTCATATCAATGAATTCCTAAAATCTATACGTAGGGTTTGAGACGAATCGGTATGAATATTATATGCAAATGATTAACCTAACTCGGCCTAAATGAACCTTCTTCCTAGAAATTATATTTTTAGGAAAATTACTTAAGAGAACAAAAGAGGCTACTTTTTCCAAACAAGCTAACCTGATTCGGCCTAAATTTGATGTACTCCTCAGTGCTTCTCACAATAAAATCCCTCGTATCAATGAATTCCTATTCTATACAAAGGGTTTGAGACGAATGGGTATAGGTGAATATTATATGCAAATATTCGATCAAAATGTAGTTCGATAAATTGATATTTCGATCAGTTGATCTTCGATCATATTTTTCGATCAAATGATGTTCGATCAAATGAAGTTCGATCATATTTCCGGCAACCCAGTTTTCAGCGGTCTCTGATGAGTATTTTCATATCGATAGAGTTAATGTTTCATCAAAACAATTTCATTAGAACATCAAAACTCAGTCTACGATCATATCTATGACTTAAAACGAAATTAGATATCAAAACTAACATAATGTCTGGCATAAGCTCATATGTCTTCAAGAATGCCAATAAAATAACGTATATCCATTCAAAACTGAAGTCTACTTTAGAAGAACTATTAGAGTCATCAAAATAAGTGACATAGTTCATCCTGAAATTATCGTAATTTTTTTCAGGGATTCTTCAGGAGAAGCATACAGAAGCAAATAGAATATCGATGTTTACGGGATGGCAAGTGTCTAGTGATACGACTGAATAGAAACCGTTGCCAGTATTGCCGATTTAAGAAATGTTTAGCCGTAGGAATGTCTAGAGACTGTAAGTCGATACAACATATTTTATTTATTTTCTTACCAACATTACACTCCGTAAGTTCTATTGCTAGTTCGAAATATTCACCCTGTAACTTCCTGAGCTTTCAATTTGCGATACTCAAATAAGTTTCACCTCAATCGTATTCCAGACTAACGCTTTCGCTTTCAAACTACCGCTGGCAGTCAGCAGGAAAGGAGAAAATGAAGATAATTATTTTTTGGGATCTGAACCCACAAAAGTCTATTCCGAAAACTGATCCATTCATGAGAATTACAAAGTGGGGTGCTTCTGATGTCTAAATTTGGAACCTTTCGGAGGGTGATCAACAAACCTATTGAGCATCGGCAGCATAGAATTATTCATAACTGTTTCAAGCGGATTTCGATTTCTTTCAGATAGTTCTTGGACATGTGTGCCCTGTGATTGTTTTCAAAGAACATCTCTCAAATCAAATTAACAAACTAGTGAGAGTTGAATCCCGGAAGTATATTTCAGTATCTTTGTACTCTACCTACGGTCTCGCGATTTTTTCATATCAGTTTCTCTCGTGAAATTATTGATTGGCAAATGTTTTCCGTTAGGAAGAGGAATTTATACGATAAAAAAAACTCTTGTGTTTTCACTCTCGATGAAACTTGTGTAAAGTGCGTTTTTTGCTTCTTATCAAAATAAATAATGTTGTTCAATATATAATTTATCATCGGCAATACATCAGATTGATGATTTCTTTCCTAAAATATGGATTTTAAAACGACCAATCCACAATGAATCCTTATGAGAAATGTTTGTTGGTCACGTTACTTTCAAAATTTGACATTCATTTAGCGTCACCTATTGGTTCGTGATTTTCTCTGATATTCTCCATCTCCTCTTTTATCTAGAAGATATATTGTGTACCCTTATCTAGTTTTGGTCCTCTAACCCTAGACTTCTGATGAAGCCTAGAATTTTTCAAACGGTTGAATTTTCAACCCCAGCAGGTGTGAGATAGACCTGTTCTAGGTGATTCAGCCTTTGGCGGGCTAATACTTTACGTGAGCAAAGTGTGTGTTCCGCGGTTTCGGTCGCATTATTGCGAAAGCGGCAAGTGTCAGTCTCCGCCAGGCCCATCTTCTTGAGGTAGTGCCGCAGAGGGCAGTGCCCTGTGAGAAAGCCTGTGATAAGCTGTAGCTCTGGTTTGCTGCGGCTGAGTAGCCCTTTGACTCGGTTCTGCAGTTGACCTGAAGTTGCTCTCCAGTAGGAGGACTTTTCAATTTCTTCCCATTTCCTGAGTTCTCCTTTTAGGTGACATTTGATTATCCCACAAAAAGGCTCAGGACCAAAGGGTGCAGATGCTGCATCTTTCTTTGCAAGGCGATCAGCTGCCTCATTTCCTTTGATTCCTTCATGCCCTGGATGACTTTGTTGCCCTTTCCCAGTTGCATAAGTGTTTCAAAGCAGTACCATGAAATCTCTGATGTGGAAACAAATGATTTTAGGGCTTTTAGTGCGGCTTGGCTGTCTAGATATATATGTTGGCACTCCTCAGACCTTTGCTCAGGCACCTTTGGGCGCATAAGTTAATGGCATATATTTCAGCTTGGAATATTGTTGGGGAGTGACCTAAGGCTTCAAATAGCCTACATCCGGGTCCATATACACTTGCTCCTACCCTTTCTTCTATTTTCGAACCATCGGTGTACAAAACAGCTGTCCAGCTGAGGCTCAGGGCAACCGTACCTAGGGCGACTTTTTATAACCACTTCAAAGGCAGGATCGAAATTCAGTGGAATTCAGTCTGTATGCATTGAAAGCTGCAGTCCTTTTGATAGAAATATGCAAGGGTGGTATATCAAGCATAGCTTCCATTGCTGCAAATGCACCTATGCCAATCACTATCCTGAGCAGAAATATTGAAAAATGGCACTTTCTTGCGAGGTAATTTGCTCTCAATTTTGCGATTTGATAACGGGATGAGAATTACGCCATCCGATAGCAATTGAATGGTTGATCTCAAAAACCTATCTGTGCCACCCCTCAATCTGGGCCTAATCCACGGCACAGCGATTAATTTGTTGCTATTTAATTTGACTTTAGAACGGCGAAAGAGCCGGGATTGGCGCAGTGGAAGAGCGTCCGTCTCACGACCGCAAGGTCGTGGGTTCGATTTCCAGCACGGGCAAGGAACTTTTTTCAATATTTTATTTACGAATTAAATATTGTGAAGTTTCGGAGCATCGGCTGGGGATAGTCCTGCACGATTCGCTGTTGCGTTCCAATTAACAGTGCTGCTCCTAAAGTGGCGCATGGAGTTAGTAACAAAGCCTACACAGAACACGCAGAAAGATACGATGATGTGGTTGTGAGCATCAGAGAAGAAGTAGGACGGTGTATGTAGGTGGGTGTGGAAAAACTACCAGCTGACCGTGAGAGCGGGCCAGCTGCTTAAGTAGACCTCGGTCTCGGGGGTTAACGATGATAGTTAGCAGGCCTGCCACTGCGCATATGGTAGTGAGTACATTACTAGCCTACAAAACACAGCTGAAGAACTCTGAAAAGAGAGCTGATGGGCGGTGCCTGAAAAGGATGTTAGCCAGCTCTCTTGAGCGAACCACATCAGTCATTGAAAACACTTGGGGTTTGCAAAAAGGTCCCATTGGGGACTAGTTGCTGACGTGGAAACGTCCCCCACCAGTACCAGTACCAGTACCAGTTAGAACGGCGAAGCTTTGGAATTCTTTGCTAAGAACTCATAACCTCCAAGAGAAAAAAAAATGGAAATGTTGACTAAAAAAACATTGATGAAATTAAAAAAATGTGAGGAAAAAATATAAACTTGAAATTTTCTCAAGTGAGTAAAAGATCATCACACTTATCACCGGAAAAAAAAAATAAGAAAAAATTATATATTTTGTTCAAGAAACAGTAACTCATTCAGTTCCTTTGTTTTCAGTCTGTTTCTCCTTCCAGTGTCATTATAAAAGTGTTCTATAGTTTCCAACCTGAACATAAACAAGCAGATATGTGTCATGTGTCAATCGTCAATAGGTTTGTTCGAGTTTAGAAAATAAACAATCCGTCACGTCACCAGAAGTATGCGCAGTTCTACAGAACTCAAAAAATGCATATAGTGCTGTGGGACTGAGTATGCTTCTGGCTTCTGATGGTTTCGGACTGTTGATCTTCTGAATGCGAGCAAACCTGAGACTATCGATACTATCGGTGAAAACTTTCGATTAAACCGATAGTACAGTATTATCGATACTATCGATAGTTTATCGATGTTTAGCTAATACTTCCAATATTTCATTTTTGAAATTGCAGCTGTACGATACGGCAGGGTGCCAAAACGATCGAGGGAAAGGAGTGTGGATGAACCGTCTCGGGTAACGACGTCAGACACGGACCAATCAGACACTGAGACGAAACAATTGGCCGTCTACGAGGTCATACTGAGCGTTTCTCAAGCCCATCACGCCAATTGCGGGTAAGACTTAAGGCCGTGTTTCAAGGCCAAACAATTTGATCAAACTCGTTTGCCTGTTCGACTCACATGGTTTGAAATGTCTAGAAATCTTTGTCACACGATTTGAAGATTTTTGAACAAAAATATTGGTTAAGCAGGTTCTCTAAAATGGGAAAAATCACAAGGAAAAATTAAATAAGAATTCATTCTATTATATGGTAAGTATTTCGTGTTGTATTTGCAATACAAAGTGATTTCAAAAAAAGAGGGAGATTTGTACAAAATAATGGCTTCAAAGAAGTAATATTGGTAGAGAACTCCTACCTATGATTTTTTATGAAGTCAGACTGGAAAATATCCCATAGTAAATTTCAAAACTACCTAAGAATGGATGGGGGATGTTTCAGATTTTTATCAATCCATATATTCACGTGAACGTATACCTGCAGAAATGAGGTGAGATCAAAACAAAGTCTCTACTCTCTAGTCAATCAAGCATAAATTTGGGATTGGAGCAAGACAAAAATATTCCTCTAATTATCTGAAATTCCAATTACTAGGACATACATTTTTGAAGTATTGATAATATCGATGATAGTATTTATTAATCCACTGATGACATCACAGATCTATAGTTTGATCATATTGTTGGACCGTGAGACCAGGGCCTGTGAGACACAGCCTTTAGGGACCTGTTATCGTCCCTAATCAATTTGAATGGTTAGGTTCATAGTTTGGGCCCTTATAAAATATGAACCCGACCATCTGATAATTATATATATGAATTTTTATACTTTTATAAAAAACAAAAATTTACATTAACAGTAAGTTTTTTCTGTTCTGAAATTCCTTTTAGGAGTATTTAGTTGCCTCTGTTTACCCTGTTATTGTCTACTTTTATATCTCAACTTTTTCACGTCCACATTATAGAACTTCGAACTACTTATCGGCTGATGATGAGCTTGTATAAGCCCGAAACATAGACTTTCAATGATCTTTGATCATTTTAATAAAAGTTCTCGAGATGACTTCGGGTTTTTCATTTATGAACAATTGATAAGGCTGAGGATGGACATATACAGGGTGTCCCTAGACCAGTGGGACAGTTGAATATCTCCTGAACCAATAGGAATTTTCGAAATATTATAATTCCACATCATATCGCATTCTGAGTGCTAACTTCAGGAATGACTATATTTTCTACGAGGGGCACAAGAAAGGCTCACAAAATCGAACATCAATTTTTTCAAATGGAACACCGTGCATTTCATTGCATTTTCATATTCTTCTTGAAGAGCTGAATTCAACGACCTAGCACACTTGGGCTCTAGCGGGAATGATTTCCGAGATATAGGGTGTGGAAAATCGAGATTTTACATTTTTGGGAATTTTTTGTGTCAAAACTATTCATTATTGGTCAAAACGACTCACATGTCCATATCTCAACTTTCGATTTACTATTCACTCGTATTTAATTGAAACAAATACAGGGTGGTGTGAAATTCCGACTGAAATTGAGAATTTTACACCACCCTGTATTTGTTTCAATTAAATACGAGTGAATAGTAAATCAAAAGTTAAGATATGGACATGTAAGCCGTTTTGACCAATAATGAATAGTTTTGACACAAAAAATTCCCAAAAATGAAAAATCTCGATTTTCCACACCCTATATCTCGGAAATCATTTCCGCTAGACCCCAAGTGTGCTAGGTCGTTGAATTCAGCTCTTCAAGGAGAATATGAAAATGCAATGAAATACAGGGTGTTCCATTTGAAAAAATTGATGTTCGATTTTGTGAGCCTTCCTTGCGCCCCTCGTATATAGTCATTCCTGAAGTTAGCACTTATAATGCGATATGATGTGGAATTATAATATTTTGAAAATTCCTATTGGTTCAGGAGATATTCAACTGTCCCACTGGTCTAGGGACACCCTGTATATGTCCGAAATATGTACCAAGTAATTTGATCTGTTGATCATGATGAAATCGTGTAGATGAGTTCCAGTAGGTATTATTTAGTACTAGCTGACCCGGCAAACGATGATTTGCTATATACATTATTTCTAGGATTTTTTTTCAGTTGAATACTCATCAACATCTCCATTTTTTTATTTTCTACTTCTATTTAGTTCTGCAAGCTATCCCTTCAATTTTAAAACTACTATTCATTTTCTACTTCCTTATAGTTTGGCTATCTATAAAAGCGTGTGTTTTCAGATTTTCAACTATTTATCAAGAAAGCTCATCGTTCTCCATATTGGATTCCGAATTTTGACAAAAAAATATTCGATCCCGAATACCTCAGATCATAATTACAAAACTCGTCCGCCATATTGAATCCGTCATCTTGAATTTTGCAATTTTGATGAAATAATCATAGTTTCCGACCTCACAAACCCCCAGATATCGATTTTGAATAGAATCGGTTCATGAATACAGAACTCGTCCATTATCTAGATATCTAGAATATCCTGATTTTGATAAAGGAATGATAATCTCCGACCACTAAAACCTTCAGATGCTAATTTGAATGGAATCGAACCATAATTACAAAACTCGTCCGCCATATTGTATTCGCCATCTTGAATTAACAAATTTTGACGAAAGAATCATAATATCCGACCCAAAAAACACACAGATACCAATTTTGAATGGAATCGGACCATAATTACAAAACTCGTCCTCCAAATTGTCTTCGCCATTTTGAATTTCCGAATTTTCTGGCTGCAAAATGGTCGTTTTCGCTAGCCACACACCACACACTACGGTTTTGCGTCATTTTTGTTCGAACCTACTAGTTCGACGAACAAAACAGCCCACCAACAACGCAGTCTATGGACTCCTTTACAGGATTCAGCAAGGCAGCAAGCGAACAAATCATAGCGGCTAGCGGTATTAATACATCACAATATAATGTTCTTTTACAAAATCCTAAACACACTGCATGCCAAAGTCACATATATTGTGTAGGACCCAAAATCTACAACCGGTTGCCAAAAAACATTAGGAATAATCCATGCCACAAAACTAAAAATAAAATAAATGACGTGATAATGGAGAACAGAGTGAAAATTACCTATCTCAAATAACCCCACTAACACAAACATACCTACATAAAGGTACATGAATAAAAAATTAACCCAAAAATCAAGTAAATGGTTAATTGAAGTTTCAGTTTTTGTTCCTTCTTCTCAGTCACTGAAACATGAATGCACTAGTGCACACACAGTATATCATATACCATTGTGCACTAGATTTCAACATTGATAGAAATAGTGATAAATAGTGAATGTTTATTTTCACAAAGTACAAATAATACAATAGTAGTTTTGAGTATTTAAACTTATTCAAATTCTGAATGATTATCTCATGATGAGTATGGTTGTTCATATAGTATTACTCTTTGAATATGATTATCTATTTTCTTTTTCTATTTGTAAACATGTATGTCAAGCAAAATCTATATTTCTGATTACTAGAAGAAATATTTTACTGATTAACAAAGTTATTTTTTTATTATTCAGATAATATTTGGATAGGAATTGAATTGTGAAAGTTTTTCCTCTGTTTCATTTTGACTGGTTTTGATTTGAGTTAGATTCTGTTTGTTATTTTCTGATGTGAAATATATATTATTATTATTATTATTATTATATTATTATACATCAGCATCGATGAATGCGAGAGATTTACTTAAATTACCCGAAGGTGGCTCTGGCTATTTCGTCCTTAGAAACCAGGTGTTATAATAATTGTCAAATATCATTTGAACATTTACATCACAAGTTGAATGAGGTTGTCATCTATATTGACACTTGCAGGAACAATATTGTATGTAACATGTGCGTAAAGTGTTTTTTTCACTCGTTAAAAAAGTACCACTTTACACACTCGTTACATAAATAAAAAATCGTCCTTCCAGGTACACGGAAGAGCAGACGCGCACCCTCGTCCGCCACCCGCTCGCCCCGCCCCCCTCTAGCCCCGCCCCCGACTCGGGGGCGGCCTCCTCCACGGCGGAGGCGGCGGAGCGGGAGCGCTGCTGGCTGTGGCAGCAGTTCGCCGCCCGCGTCACGCCCAGCGTGCAGCGCGTGGTGGAGTTCGGGAAGCGCGTGCCGGGATTCTGCGACCTCGGACAGGACGATCAGCTGATCCTGATCAAGGTGGGCTTCTTCGAGGTGTGGCTGGGCCACGTGGCCAGGTCGACGGGCAGCGGACAGATGACGTTCGACGACGGGACGAGCGTTAGTCGGCAGCAGCTGGAGACCATGTACGATGTGAGTATTTTGTTATCATAAGAGTTTTTTTTTTTTTCGCCGAGGTGGTTGAAATCTTTTATAGACATCATATGGGTCCAATCCCCCATATGATAGTGTGGGAGTCCCCTCCATGGTATACCCACTAAACACTCCACCTCGTTGTAGGCTCCGACGACACTTAGGCCTAGTGGCCCATTGTATCTAACCTACATGCCGTTATCAATTTTACCACATACGACTCGTGGTGCCTATTAAGGGCCACTTCAATGTGATATACCCTTTTCGTTCAGGTTCCTGAAGATTGCTCTTCCGATCCCTGTTCTCGTCTACGAAGAAGGCCAAAAGTTTTCCTTCTCCTACGAGTGACGGGGGAAGGGGTTGGTCCAGCTCTGTGGTGCCCCCCTGCACAGGGCTAAGGCTGTTTACTCTGGGATGTCGCCCTGTTTCCCAGAGGCCCCGTTAGCGACACCATTCCTCGGTGCCATCCATCCATCGCCACGGGTTCCCACAGCTTGGATTAGGTTGCCAGAGCCTCGTTGACCAGTCCTCGACCACCTAGACAAACATCAGCAAATCGCCCCATCCCTGCTACAGATGTCCACAAATTGTCCCATCTGGCAGAAGATAGCAAAGATGGTCCCAAAATGCTTCATCTGTCAAGCGGCCGCTGCCTTCCCCACACCACTTGATGGTGAGGTTGGGCTTGGAGGGGAAGAGGAAAAGAGAAGTTGGCCAAGAAATGCCGATAGAAAGAGAGTAGGTATGGACAACCTCCTGGAAGTCATGAACAGACTGCTTCCTGAAGATGAAGCGCTTCTTGACACAGCAGAAAAAGGCCGAATTAGAACAGACAACGGCGATTACACTTGCAATCATGGCATCCTAATCTACCTCACAATGGAGAATTTAGGTCATGCAGTCGCTGACATCACTCCCTACAAGGCGTGTGGTCCGGATGGAATACACGACATAATCATAAAACTAGCCTATCCACATATCAAGGACCCACTCCTCAAGCTATACTAGACTCGGTTATTTTCCCAAACAGTGGAAAGCTGGTAACCTAATCACGATCCTCAAAGCACCTGACAAAGACCCAACCTTAAAGCCTATCGCCCTTATCTCAGAGTTTGGCAAAATACTAGAGATTTATCATGCTATGCATGCACAAAATCATTCCGGACCATCAATTAATGCACCAAGCTCAATACTGCTTTAGAACGAGGCGATCGACCATAGCTCACTGACCAAATACGACAAGCATGGTCATCTTCATTGACAATATGTGGTGGCCAAGCCTGTTCAAGAACCTCCACACTAAAGGTCTGCCAGCACAAATGTTTACCTGTTCAGAGACTACCTAAGAAGCAGACTACCAGCACCCACCACACTTCTATCTCCAAAACCCTCACGAAAGGATGCCCTCAAGGATCAGTCTTAGGACCAATGGAGCCTCACAGTCAACCCTCTTCTCGAGCATAGCTGGCCGAACGACTGCAAGATGGTTGCCTACGCCAATGACCTGGCTATATCTATCCACGGCGACTCAAGACTCGAATGTAAAAACTTCACAAACGATAAGATTTCCACAAAATTTATTGAACACACGACATGTTTCGCTAACACAGTAGCTTCGTCAGGTGATATACTGGTACAATGAACATGTTGTTGTTCATTGTACCAGTATATCACCTGACGAAGCTACTGTGTTAGCGAAACATGTCGTGTGTTTAATAAATTTTGTGGAAATCTTATCGTTTGTGAAGTTTTTACATTTATCATGGATTTCCATCATGTAACGGCCGAGTCAATTCAAAAATTCAAGACTCGAACTTGGACAAAGAGCAAATAATTGCCTCGATATCGTTCACGGCTGGGCAGAGAGTCACAAACTACATTGCCTTCTCGAATCTTTCGTTCATTCGCAATCCGATCGTGAGACTGGGTGGTGATCGAGGTGGTGATCCCCTGAAAAGGGCCAGGAATACAAAATATCTTGGCATCTACTTGGATGATAAGCTCAATTTCGAGCACCACATCCACTATATAAAAGACAAGGCTCGCAATATATTTCATGCCCTCCGAAGGTTCGTGCAGAGAAATTGAGGTAACATCCAATTCCTCCAACAATCACTCAAGGAAATCTACGAACGGGCAATCATCCCTATCCTGAGCTATGGCATTAGCATCTGGGGACATAGGCTCACTAGAGTCACTAATCTCGCCTACTTTAGAACCACGCAAGCTATTTGCCTCAGAACCATCTCTGGCGCATATCGATCAACACCAAATGAGACGCTGTGCGTGCTGACTGGCTGCGTTCCAATACACAGGATCCTGAACTGTGTGGCGTTCGCCGGCGAAAGACTGGGTATGGCCGCATATGCCCCAGTAGGACCTGCCACTGTGGCAGAAGATGTCTGCCGGCTCGGAGATGGCATCAACCTTCTCTCAAATTTCATAATTGATTGAACAAGCTTACTGAGAGACCAGAGTCAACAAATCCTCTATTATAGTAAATTGCTTACAGTAAATAACTTATTACAAACTAACTTAATATAAGCCTCTTAACAGCATGTAAACGGGAAATGCCCGTAATTAATATTAGGTTGCAAATTGTAAAAAATCTCTGTATAACTATAAATCCTCAGAAGGTGAGTCGCAGGTACTTCAGTGATGAACTTGGACATCCAAGCATAGTTCTACTCCAAATCTTAAGTCTGATACACAACTCCCATGACTACCCAACCATCGTACTGTCTTTAAATGAGGCCTGATCAGAAGAGCAGGGGTGGTGGCGGGTCCTCTACCCTCCTTTTTTTTTATAGTAGGTATAGGTACCGTTGGAATGAGATTTAAAAGAAAGAAACTACATAGGACCTCTACGGAAAATGAAGATCTTGAAAAAATTAGAAAAAGGAGTTCGTTATCCGTCATATAAAATAGAAGTTTTTCTAATAATTTTCGTCCACTAGTTAATCAACTCATTGTTGGAAATAGTGATGAATATATGTAGTGGATTTGATAAATTCTTGCATTCTAACCAAGCCTGAGCAGAAGCAGCAGTAGTAGTAGTAGTATGGTGAGGAGGCTGTAGCCAAGCAAGTAGGCCCCGATGGACCCTTTTCACTAACCCCAGCTCTCCATATACCTACGCTTTCTTTACCTAGATTTCCATATGAATCTCCCTGACTATCTAATGGAGGCCAGTATGTCTGTCCACTCTAATATGATCAACTCTTCCTGTTGGAGTTTGTCGACTCCAAAGATATCGAATCTTAGCCTCCCGTATCCCTCGCACTCGCCGAGTAAATGGGGTGACGTTTCTTCGTCTTCCCCACATCTACGGCAAGTAGGGTTGTCCTCTATCCCCATTAGTAATAGGTGTCTGCTTAGCCTGTTACGTCCTGTAAATACTCCTATGAGGAGGCGGAGTACTTGGCGATCTCTGCCAAGCAGCCAGTCCTTCCTTGATTTGCTCGGACCGGCCACGAATTCCTTGGGCTGCCTGCAACCTGTGATATTCCTCCAGTATTTTCCTAGTGCCTTGCCTTTGCTATACCTAGTACTGGCTCCGGCCCCAGAAGCGGTTCCCTCGATCCGGACCTAGCAAGTTCGTCTGCGGTTTCGTTTCCGGGCACCCCACTGTGACCTTGGACCAACAAGTTCAACTTCTTTTGATTCGGCTGATTTCTCGAGAACATTTCCAAATTCCTGTACCAATGCTGAGCTTGGTCTGGGATGGCAGATTGTCTTGAGTGCTGCCTGACTGTCCGAACAGATGTAGATTTTCTGCTCTGGTCCCTCTTTCATTTCTTGCCTCTCTACTACGACCAGGATGGCGAACACCTCAGCTTGGAAAACTGTGGCCTGAGGCCTGAGGCCTGTTTGTCAGTCAGGCGGGATCCGTCTGTGTCCCTAGGCAAAACTCCACTGTATTCATTTTCCATTCTTCTCTGCTTAGAATAGTAAGTTTGTACTTCCTGTTTCATCTCAGCATGTCCTGTACTTTATTCACTCTGAGAGTGGAGATATAAATCTCTTGCTCCAACCACTTTGCTATTTTTGCATGACCTGCTATTGTCCCTTCACTTGCCCAGTTTCCTGAGTTCCGCATCCTTAGGGGGGCCGCCATTGCCTCCTTCTTCATCCAGATTTGGAGCGGTGATCACATCTAATGCTGCCGTTGGCGTCGTCCTCATTGCACCAGTTATTAAGATTCCGACGTATCGTACTAGTTTCCTAGACCCAGAGTAAGTGAACTCCTGAATGGTCCAGAACCATTTTGTGGTATTGCGAAAGGTATACAAAACACAAGCATCAAATCATAGATGCAAACTGAATCTCAATAGGTCAGAGTAGCAAAAAACCTTTGAGAATATACACAGAATATCTAGTGAGCCAGAAACGAAGTTCAATTAGAATACTATTGGGGCTTCTCACAGGGAATTGTAAGCTCAACAACTAAATGAATACGATAAGTCTGCATGAAGAACTGCTGTGCTGGTTTTGTCAGGAAAAGGAGGAGGTACACATACTTTGCTACTGTGAGGGCTTGTAATCTTGTCAAGACTAAGGTTCCTGAGCTGGAAGAGGAGAAACCAAGAGCCCAAATATACACAGGCGATCTGAAGGATACCATATGGAGTCGAATAGAGAAGGTGGAGCTATAGTCAAAGACGATTAGGGGGGCGGTGTGAAGGCAGATAGACCGAAGGCCCCATTCTAATCTGATCTAACTGCTCAGGGATTTTCATAATGATATTAATTTTATGATATATTAGGTGTTGATAGCGATGAGGACATAGATATCGTGGATTTTACTATAACTATGCGAACTTCTATTTTGGGTCAAATATCTCGATAACTGTTCATTTTAGCTCAGTGACTATGAAATCACGAGGGCTATCACCTGTCAAGCGTTGGCGGTCGAATTTCGTAACACCCTGTATACATAGAAAAAAATTGCCATGTCAGGCCGCGTCGGTCGATTTTAACTGACATTCTTTAATGCTCTTCTGTACACCAGAACAATGTCTGAGCAGCAATATGCTGATCACTTAGATGCCCCCTATTCTGAAAACTTCGCGTGGCTTGACGCGTTCGAACCAATGAAAATGCATCGGCTCAGCACGAGATCAAGCTGTCGGTCAAAAATGACTGACATGGCAGTCAGAGTGCTAGACCGCTCGGACACCGTGCCCGATGATGCAGATATTTTGACTTGGTAATCAACGAAAATCATTAACCTATACTTTGCTTCTCTTCCAGAACGATTTCGCAGCATCCCTGGTCCACTTTGCCAACACGTTCAACGCCCTCTGTCTGAACGACACGGAAGTTGGTCTGTTTTCGGCTGTGGTCCTGCTGACGGCTGATAGGCCTGGCATAACCGACGTCAAGGCTATCGAACACCACCAGGACAAGCTCATCGAAGCTCTCAAAGTTCAGGTGAGAAGCAGAAACAGAAAAGAAAAAATACTGATAGTAGAGGTAGGTTCACTGTCAGTGTTCACTTGCCATCAAAGATTTTATAATGTTGAATTAGATGCGTCCTTGCCTTACCGTCTTGCACAGAACATTGATAGGAGTAACATGAGGAGTGAGAGCTCAATTGAGCTCTTTTTTATCGTGAACGAGAGAGAGGAAAGTTCTCTCCTCTTCCATCTCTCTCTTCTATGCTACCAAGGTGGCCGCATTGAAATATAGAGAGGTCCGATAAATCTTTCCTTGTCTAACATCTGGTCCACGCCAATGAACTATTTTCGATATTATAATGACGTGATATGTCATGAATGTCATTGACTGATAACATTTCGAATTTTCGGGAAGAAATTTCAAATCATATCATACTCATTTTGACATTATTTGTAACTATCGTTGAATTTCTAGATTGATGGATCATCTTCATCATCTTCTATATATATAAAAATGAATGCTTGTCTTTTTGTCCTGTTAGAATCGTAAACGGCTTGATCGATTTCACTAAACCTTTTTCGTCATGTTTCTTATTGTCAGGAGAAGGTTCCTATGAGAGAAATAATTGAGAAATTCAAGATGGCGAATCCAATATGGAGGACGAGTTTTGTAATTATAATCTGATTCCATTCAAAATTCGTTTCTGAGAGTTTTCGGTCGGAGATTATGATCCTTTTGTCAAAATTAGAAAATTCAAGATGGCGGATTCAATATGGCGGACGAGTTTTTAATTATAATCCGTTTACATTCAGAATTAGCATCTGGGGGTTCTTGGGGTCGAGGATTATGATTCTTTCGTCAAAATTGGAATATTCAAGATGGCGGATCCAATATGGCGAACGAGTTTTGAAATTACGATCGGATTCTATTCAAAATTGGTATCTTGGGGTTTTCGGGTTCAGAGATTATGATTCTGCCAGAATCGGAAATTCAAGATTGCTGATCGAATATAATGGTTTGAAAATTCAGGACGACGGATTCAATATGTCGAACGCGCTTTGTAATAAATCTAGTGTTTCGAAAAACTAATGAAATAGGCTTTCATAGATAGCCAAACTAAAATGAAGTAGAAAATGAATAGTTTAAAAAACTAATAAAGAGATAGATTACCGAACTGAAAGGAAGTAGAAAATGAATAGAAGTTTGAAAAACTAAGAAAACACGCTTTTATGGTTAGTCAAACAAAACAGAAGTAGAAAATAAAATGATAAAAGTGTGTTGTTGAATATTCAACAGAAAAAATATTGTCAAGAAATAGCAGAACAACGTTTGCCGGGTCACCGACATTCATTAAAATGACTCGAACTTAATTCAATATTTGTGTACTGTCTTTCTTTCATATGTATTTTTCTGTGTTTCCTATGTATCGGAGGAGCTAAAACTAAAGTTAAATATCCTCAACTCCTTAAAAGTACCAGTTTTTGTTATACAGGGTGTTTTGAATTCACAGGTGAGCCGGAACCATCCCAACGAGCCCCAGATTTTCTCGAATATCCTTATAAAACTACCAGAATTGCGGAATTTGGGTGCAAAGCATACGGCCCATCTCGACTGGTTCCGAATGAACTGGACTAAACTGAATCTACCCCCCTTGTTCGCGGAAATTTTCGACATCCCCAAATCCGAAGACGATTTGCAGTGACGCCGAAAACGCGGGAAGAAGAAAATGGCAGCTGACAGACCACTGACAGACGACCAGAACGAAACATTCGTTCCGTGATGACGGAACGAACCGCCATGAATGTGATGTTCTGTGCGCTAGATGCCTCTCTTGCTCAAATGTGCTAAAAGGCTGAATATGTGTGGAAGTGGAAGAAATTTTTCGAAGTCGTTTTCGAAAATATGCATCTCTTCGTGATTGACAGGGTCATCAAGCTTTTTTATTTAGGTGAATTTTAATGGAATTTAGTTGTTTATACGTGTATACATATCATTCTCATTTTATGGTAATTTTAAGAAAATGATCTGAGGCCTCAGTATCATATTATTTGTATAAATACGCTGCGATTTTATATTTTACAATTTCGGTGTGGAAGTTCTGTTTTATGTGAGTTTATATAATTATATTCATGTTCAAAACAACTTTAGAGAAAAATTACTAAATATATCGCTCGATTAGTAAATACTATAGGGAAAAAAATCAACACAAACAGGATGTAGAAGTTCTGATGAAGATGTGTCCCAAAAACGTCGTTTATTAATAGAGATTTTTGTATAGTCGCTCAATATTGATTTCCTTACGATAGAATATGTATCTTATACAAGTGCGTTTCATCCTAAATTTTTGATGTTATTGAAGGAATCACAATATAAAATGATATCGTGTTCCTTCAGCGATATATCTACAAGACTTATAGTTAATAGTTGAACTCAGAGGCAAGAGTATAGAAAATGTCGCTGATTGGATTTTCTACAAAAGTGATTTTGAATATAATACTGGGTGACTCGGGACCAATTCTTTCTCTACATCTTCGTTGTTATCCTGATTAGAATTTTCGAATGTTGACCAGAAGCTATCCAACATTTTTCATTTGAAATGCTCTTTCGATGAATTACGATTTACTTTAAAATTTTCTCTTTCTAACAATACAGGGTGTTATTTGAGTACGTGGCCAAACTTGAAGGGGTGATTCTTTGAGTGATTCTAAGACGAAAAGTTCATATAAACATAGGTCCGGTAATGCTTCGTTTTCAAGATACATGGTGTCAACATTTTTAAAAGGAACCGTTTTTTTCGTGAATATCTTAATAACCCTTTAACCGATTTCATTGAAATTTGGCAGTGTTATTCAAGGTCGTAAAGTGCTAATTTAACCCTAACTATATCAAAATTATCATGTCCAGTGGCGTCCCGGAAGGCACTGTAACCAATATTTTTGACAGAAAAAATGTGCGCCACTGATTTTTTTGCAATTTTTGTATTTGTTTCACATTGAGCAACTTAAATTACAACTTTTTTATATCTAGAATTTTTTTCGTATCTTGCTTTGTTTTTGAGAAAAAACATAAAAATCACTTCATTGCACATCCCTGTGACGAGCCGAAGCCAAGAGCCGAAGGCAAGTGCTGCAATTCATACCATACATACATACATATTTTCGTTTTTTCATTGCATTAATTTTAATAGAGAATTCCAAGACTAGAATAGAGTATTAATATGAAAAAATATTAGTAAGACCCCAGTTTTTGATGGTTTAGTAGTTGAAATGTTTTATTGTGTTGTCACAGGGATGTGCAATGAAGTGATTTTTATGTTTTTTCTCAAAAACAAAGCAGGATACGAAAAAAATTCTAGATATAAAAAAGTTGTAATTTTAGTTGCTCAATGTGAAACAAATACAAAAATTGCAAAAAAATCAGTGGCGCACATTTTTTCTGTCAAAAATATTGGTTACAGTGCCTTCCGGGACGCCACTGGACATGATAATTTTGATATAGTTAGGGTTGAATTAGCCCTTTACGACCTTGAATAACACTGCCAAATTTCAATAAAATCGGTTGAAGGGTTATCAAGATATTTACGAAAACAACGATTTCTTTTAAAAATTTCGACACCCTGTATCTTGAAAACGAAGCATTACCGGACCTATGTTTATATGAACTTTTCGTCTTAGAATCACCCAAAGAATCACCCCTTCAAGTTTAGCCACGTACTTAAATAACACCTTGTATATCGCAACCATTATCTCAAGCTAGTAACCACTAATGTAACTGAAATTCAATCCAATTCAACCTTTTTGCATCCCCTTAGAAAAATCTTCAAGAAAATTGTCCTATGCTATTCCTATTAAAAATAGAATAACAGCATGTTGATAATAACAATAATACGAGGAATGAGCTGTCAGTTTTGAATATGAAAGTTTCTAACCAACGTAAAAATTCATATGTTCAAAGCTGAAAGTTAAAATTGGAAGATTATAGAAACAAAGCTATAAATTCTTATGTAAAAACTGAACGGATATTTTTCTCCTCATAAATTGTACAATTATTTTGTCAATTAAGCTAATTTCAAGCTCTTTTTCTTTTAATAGGCGAGTGGACTATTTTTTTATTCCTTAAATAGAATCATTACTCATTCACCCTTCTAATTCATATTTTTTCAAATTTTTCCAGTCGATTTTAAGGTGCTTGAATAATCAATATCGCCACGGTAATTTTCAAACGGCTAGAAATTTACCGCGAATGGAATCTGACGTCACGATTTCGTAGGTAGGGGCAGCCCGAAGCACAGTTGCCATATGTTGAAATACGGATGGGAACTTCAGGAATATTATTCATTTGAGAATTCATGAATGCTCAATCATTCTGAATTCACTTTAAAAAATCCATTGTCTTGTAATTTTCCCTCTTATATGTTGTATCTTATTGCATGCACGAGAAATTGTCGGTAGTGAAAATAATACCATAACAAAATTGTATCATATTCATACTATAAGTATCATACTATCTTGAAGTGGTAATATATGATATAGGATAGGATTATACAATTTTGTAGTGGTATTATTAGATGAATGTAGTGACTGGCGCTCATTTTACTAAACGTTTGGTATTTACTACCGACTATTTTTTTCACTTCACTTCACACGAGAGCATTTATTTGTCTAAGTAAACTTGACATGTATCAATAGGAATTTTGTTGCATGGTAGTTTTTTCAGGCAGTTTTTTGAGTTGAATTATCTAATGGCAACAAAATTCGAATTATAAATGCCAATTCTACTTCGACTAAAAAAAAGCTAGTGGTTAATTCCGTAAGACAATTTAATTCATCAAACATTTGTTTATGGCTGTTTGTCATGCTTTCAAAAGTTAGAATCCGTAATTGTCGCTGGAATAGTTAGGGCAAACTTTTTTCGCTGTCATAATGACAAAATCACGCGGCTTGTGGGATTTTTCATACATGAATCAAATTATTGTCAGTGTAATAAGACGAATTTGTCATCAACATATTCATTCACACTAGAGGATATATGGTCGAGTAACACAGGATTATGGGCGTTGTCTTGTCAGCTCTCAGCGTTTAGCACAGTATTGCCAAGTCTCTAGCCTAGCCAACATTTACATGATGTTTTGTTACATAGTATAAGAGATATTTCACCAAGCTGGTTGTTTGGAACAGTCACAAATTAATAACTGAAATAATTATAATATCATGGCTTCCTCGTCTTAGGTCAAATGAAATATTCAATTTGGATAGTTTTATTGAACGATAGGGCTCGAAACAACTTTTTAATAACTTGGTTATAATTGGTGATCTGGCAACCTTACTTTAAGAGTGTGAATGGAAGATTAGCTGACCAATAATGAAACAGCATAACAACTGACGTCATCATATCTCGAACATATCCCAGAACATAATAGGCACGTTTGCATTAAACACGCGTGAGTGTTGCAAAAATTAATTCAGATCCCTAACGATACAGTGAAGTTATTGAATACCAATTAAGCACTAGTAGTTCACTCGCCCAAATTAGTCTAATTACAAGATTTATTCTGCAATTAGGGTAATAAGGAAGAAAGAATAACTTTGTTGCTTGAAATTATGATTGCATCTCATTGCAACTGAGGTTTAATTGACCAATTGAAGAGTGGAAGTAACAAAGGTGCTAAGTGCCATAATTTCATTAATTGAAACATTGCCGTAGAACGGTGTTGAATGACATGCTTTATGACCTGGCAAAAGTTGTTACTGCCATGAGTAATATTATCCTTTCAACAACAACAATTAGATGGAGCCAGCGGTAAGCGACAACGGTTATTTGCCATCAAAGGGGGCAAGTACCAGAGTGAATTGCTGTATTGTCGAATCATTAGACACCTGGTTCTTTTGTTGTTTTTTTTATTATTGAGATCAATGTCCTATATCCTTATTTTCATGTTTGAAAAACTCCAAATTATATCAGCAATACTTCCTGATCCTATTTTGTTGAAGAAAAATGTGGCACTTACCTCGTTTCTATTTTTTTTTTCAAGAAATAATTTTTATTTTCAGCTGTGTTTAATAACAGATATCGGTGTTAGTTAGAATTGGTTTTCCGTTGACCTTTTATACGATTTTTGATGCTAATGAACGAAAAAAAAAAACAAATATTGACGTTCTTATTACTTTTTTCTTAAATATCTCGAAACTTCATTTTTGGCACTTAGCACCTTTGTTACTTCCACTCTTCAATTATTCAGGCATTTGTCTACTTGCAAGATCAATCTGTTACTTGAGGTGATTGCAAGATTGATCTTGCGCAGTTAGCATGGCTATGTATTAATTGACAATGACAATTTCATACTGAATCGTATTTTTACCAAACTGTTTATTGTGGTTGGAAAAGTATAATTTTATAGTGAATCTTGACTTTACGAAACAAAAGTTCTACTTTTCATTTCAAATGAGAAAGTATCTCACAAATGTTCATTCAGGGCAACAAATCGATGTACCAAAATTTTGATTATCTATTCGGACTGATGGATATCAGAAGGGCTAAATTGTTTCCGGGCCACCCGGTATATATAAGTATATAAACTCTTCACTTCTTTCGGGTATTATAAATACATTTTTAACATTAGTCAAATGTAATCTTAAATGAAAATGTCGATAATAGCCGTACTCAACTATGCTTTTTAATAATATAAAGTGAAATAACAATCATCTCGCGATAATACTATAGGTAGGGGTGTTATCAATATCCTCTTAGAGTACAAAAATAATTCTTATAGAATTACATTTTTTTATTATAATAGAGATTTTCGTTGTACAGAGAATACAATTCTCTTTAATCAGAAATAGTTATTTTTTCCGTGACGGGAAAAAAGTTTGGCATTTCATCCCTGTTGGCAGGTTATAAAATGTCACTTTTCATAAATTACTTTTTTCCCGTGTATTTGTTTCAATTAAATACGAGTAAATAGTAAATCAGAAGTTAAGATCTGGACATGTATTCCGTTTTGACCAATACATAATGAATAGTTTCGACACAAAAAATTCCCAGAAATGAAGAATCTCGATTTTCCACACCCTATATCTAGGAAATCATTCCCGCTAGAGCCCAAGTGTGCTAGGTCGTTGAACTCAGCTCATCAAGGAGAAT